GGGGGGGGGGGTGAAAAACTTCTACCCTAAACACTTCAACACTCCTTTCAGGTTGTGTTTCAGAAAACGTATGACAGGCGGGACAGATCATGGAGGTGGTGGGAACGATATGGGGTTCATATTACACTAACAGGCGGTACCGGGTGATGGCAAGACGACTTTTTAGTTGCCCAGTTAATCTCTGCTATAGATATTTTATAGTCTGATCGTTTATTGTAGCTGTTTGATTTATTTTATCTACCTAATCACTATGACTGCGCTTCTCTCTCTCTCTCTCTCTCTCTCTCTCATGAAAAATCTTTGGTTCTTTTCTCAGCTGCTTGATTGTTCATAAATAGATTTTGGACGAGAGTCATCAGATCTTGGCCTGGCTTGATTGCTTGTCCTTTCATTTCATTGGGCAAACCGCAGCTGCCCACTTGACATGGTGGATCAATTCCATATAAACCCAAACAACAGTCCCATATTAATTTAGGTAATTCCATAGATCTACCACTAGCACTATTGCTTGCTATCAATTTAACATTTTGCGTCATTGTTTGCGCTTGTTCACGAGTTAATTTGCAATGGTTATTCATATCATAGACAAACGCACCATGATAATGACAATTGTCATGATTGGTCTTTGATGTTATGTAGTTTTGTTGACATTTTGGACGTTTCTTGACTGAATTATTATCAAGACGTTTCTTTTCCTTTTCAAGTTTCTCTTGTTCTTCTCTGCACGTCTCTTTGAAATCAATATCTTCAATGAAAAGGTTGAGTAGAAATGAATTATTAACTATCATCGTCACCCATTTCTCTTTTGGTTGAGTGAAAATTGATGGCTAAAAGAAAATTTATAATACTTCTGCTGCATCAAAGAATAGAGTTTTTGCATTACTGTTTTTTCTCTTAAAAATTAACTTACATCGTCAGTAGCTTGATTTTTTTCAACAACAGCAATCTTACACTTTTCTCGAATGAACTGATATAAACGAATATTGGAGATTGATACTGATTTTGACATTGCCGAATCGGTCAGTGTAAGCATAATCAACGAGTCAATATCGAAGATAAGCATCGAGCGATTGCATTCATCGCACTCTAAAACAAGAAATATCGTCGCTGTCTCTATTTCATTAGGTTTAACTCAATAATCCGATGTAGATTAGGGGCATGCCAATACAAAACTACTCAAATTATCAATAATTAATGCAATACTGATAGTAAGACGACATCTCTAAGCAGATGATAAAAGTGGGCACCGATGGAATTGCACTGGTGAAAAACGGATTTTTTTTGGGTGTGGGTGTGGGTTTAAACAGTCTATATCTATAATTACACCCACACCCTCTACTGTTGATTTTCCAGTAAGGTATTAAAAAACAAATTCATTAAGTGTTTGGAAATCATTTAAATTGTTTTCCTTGAGTGTTTTCGTTAATTGTAAGCAATCCATAATAGATTCTGCTTTATGGTAAGCCTTCCCAGGTGACCAAAAGACTAGTAAAAAGACTATAATCTTTTTTCTAGACAAGTCGGCCGTCCAGTCTAGTCTTTTTGCCAAAATGTCTTAGTACATGACTAGTCTGAAATCTCGTATAGTCCATAGTGCCCGTCCGGACTATGAAAGTGACTGGAGTCATTCTATTTGTCATGCGTAGTCTTTTTCGAAAAAAAGTCTAGACATGCTATACCATCCTGACGCCCTC